AAAGGACCAAAGAGGAGAGACCAAATAAACTCATTAGCTTATAAAATGATTCTCCAGCTTATTTACCTTTCTCTTTTATAGATTCAAAATTCTTTAGAATTATAACCCTCTATTAAAGTGGGAACGGATATGTTTCTGATGCTATTACAGTATGCTTACCTCAAAGACTTTATGAGATAATTTTGAGGGTTCAGGGACTTCCCCTTGTCTCTAAAATCATATTTTCATTGATAGCTCCCTTGAAGACATTTCTAAACTTATCTGTACAGTTAGTAGCCGCTTATGTGACTGCAATCTCTCTTTTCTATTTCTCTTGTACTCCATTCTTCATCAAAAATTTACAGGCTTTCCCTAAACACAATTTCCAAGAACGACCACAAAGAAAGAAATGTACAAAGTCATATTAGCCTACATATAGACCCTGGCCTGAATAAACTACAACCCCTAGACCTCAACCTTTTTGGTACCTGTCTGATGGAAAACAAGTTTTTCTTGGAACAGGGAAGAGAAGATGGTTTGGGGAGGATTTAAAGGAGCCCACAACCTAGATCCTCCATGCACAGTTTACAGTAAGTAGGGTTCCACTCCTATGAGAATCTCATGCCGCACCATTCTGACAGGAAGCATTGCTCAGGTAGTAATGTGAGCAATGCAGAGCAGCTGTAAATACAGATGGAGCTTTGGATGGTTGGAGACCCCTGCTCTAGATCACTTTCTGGTCCTCCTTTCTTCGCTCCCCAGATTTAGTATCCAGAATTTATGTGTATTTGGCCTGTCTTTTTTTTTTTTGGTACCGGGGATTGAACTCAGGACCTTGCACTTGCGAGACAGGCAGTGGCACCACTGAGCTAAATCCCCGACTAGCCTCTGTCTTTTTAATCTGGGACATATGTCCATGAACTTTTAGATGGAGGTGCCATGTAACAGAATAGTAAGTGGGGAGAGGGAATTGAGGTGTTGGATATTCTTTCTAAGGTGAAGATGGCCTGAATTTGGAGAAATGAAGTCCAATACAATATCATGGCTATGTTTGTTCTCATTGTTCCTGGCATTCTCAGCAAAGGATATTGCCTTGAAAAGTAAAAGCAATACAATATACAACTCACTTTAATATGGAAATCTGCCTTCACATAAAGCGCACTCCATCTTGGCCCGCTTACCATGCAGTTCAGTTATGATTATGCATATCATTACATATGCGTTACAGTAAATGTTGTAAGATTTACTATAGTATAACAACATTTGTTTATAGCAGAACATATATCTTCAGGATTCCTGTTATATTGCTCATACCACATTATCACTTGTTCATGGCCACCTGATGACAATTTAGAGTATTTAGAGGGAACCCTGGGGGTTCATAAATATTACTTCGCTTATATAATCTGTGTGTTTAGGTTATGCCTACTAAAATCATCTGTTTTCCTTCTTAATCATGTTCCTATCCTGCACTATCAGTTACCTCAATATTTGGTGAAACATTAGGAGAGCATCAGCTATTGATTTGTATCTACTTATACCTACTGGTGAATAAAAACGTACAAATTAATAGGTCACTTATACAACCAGTTACCTTTGTCCTACTCTATAATATAGCATCATAAGACATTTGATCATTAGAGTGGCTATTAAATTTAGCAACGATAACATTTCAGCGAAATGTTTAGAGATGAATTATATTTTCAAGGAAATCAATCATTAGAAAAATGAATAAAATGTCATTACAATAGTTAATACAATCAAGATAATTATTTCAACAGATTTAAAGTTTTGCCATGAAAAAACAGGATGAAATTCAAAGGACGCTTTACCTTCTCTAAACACTCTTTTACTAATTCTGTTAAGAAGTCTTAATTATCCCATTATTGACTCCTTAGATAATAGGATCCAAAGTATTGTAGTTTTGGAGTAATTATCAACCAGAAGGGGATGTAGAATGAATTTTCCTGCCATCCCTTCACAGAGGCGTGGAGGTAATAAAACACAGGACAGATATGTTGGATGTTGGGGAAAAGATGGAGTACTGAGAAGACCCTCAAAAGAACTGAAGGAAGTGGCAGGCCTGGGTGAAAAGATCTGTGAATATGAAAATCACAAGGGTGATGGTGATGACAATACACTTATGGAGAAAGTGAAAAGTAGAGGAAATCCTCAAGTATCTGTAGTTTCCTGGGATGAAAATATCTAACCTCACTGTGTAGTAGAATTGAAGCCAGTGGGTGAAAATATAAAGGGTTTTATCTTGATTTGAAATATCTGTGTAGAAGAGTTAAGGATATAATCATCTGCTACTAAAAAAAGTGGATGAGTCAATGCCAAGAGAGATTGGCATTTAATTTTCATGAATCTTTTAGAAAGGATTGCAGGGTAAATGTCTGAGTCATTGGCAAGAAAGGTGCATGAATGTGTTAACCAAGGTTTGGGTGCCTATGTTTCTAAGGACCTGTGACAGTGACCACCATTGACAGGACAAGAGAATCGTGGAGAAAGAAAGAGAAAAAAATTTGGTTTCATTCAATTTTCAATCCAATTCACTAAGCACTCCTCTATTATGTGAAAGATAGTACATCAAGGGTACCACAATTCCATGTTGATTTATTTACGATATGTTCATTGAATAGCTCTAAGGGAGTGTACATTTTGTAAGTAGTTGAGAATAGAAACTGCAAGATATCGTCATCCCCCTGGAAGGGCTGTAAATCTAGAAAGGAAAAACTACCAAACAGATTTTTACACTGTATGTGAATGAGTGCCCATTTTGCTAATTTTTCACTGAAGGTGAGATTGGTAGTCCTCCTTGCATACAAAGACTACACTAACAAGGCAGATGAAACAGTGAAAAGAACAGGATATGTAACATGAAATTGCATGTTTGCCACAAACTGCTGAAATGATTGCAGATAAATAGAAATCTATTAGATACCGCTATATGCCTACATATAAAATAGGGGTGCATACTGTTGTTGTAGGTACTAGCACATTAAGATCCATAGATGAATTTGTTGCTTTAAGTACTTAAAAGGAAATAAAATTTCTGTATTTATAATTTGTAAAAATATAAATATAAAAATAATAACTTACAGAAACATAGCTGGCATTAATGTAATCCGATCCTGGAATACTAGCATCCGCTATTAGCTTCACTCTGTTATTATTATCTAAGAAGAAAATATAAGTAATAAATGCTAATTGTCTTTAATTTTATACTTTCATTATAAAAGTAATATGAATTCCTGACACAATATTGAAACTTTATAGATGGGTATAAAATTAAAGAAATTCCCTCTTATTTCTATCATCTAAAGATAATCACTGTTAATATATATCTTTATATGTAATTCCAAAATTTTATATAAATATTCTTAGGAAATTAACTACAAATGGTATGATATATGGTCTGCTTGGCAAGTTACTTTTTAAATTTACCTAATCTTTCCATACAAGCATAAATATCCACAGCTCATTATTTTAAAAAGACAGTATTTTGTTATTTCAATATAACATACTTATTTAACTCTGTCATGATTTAAATTGATCTCATTTGTTAATACAAAATGATCAATGAGTATAATTGAACTTTTTGCATATATATAGGTGTATATTTGTAGAATATATTACCCGCAGTGAAATTCTCAAATCACATCTCTCAATTCTGAAATATACTGCCAAATGATTCTCTAATATTATTAACTCAGACTCTGAGCAAGTGAGTAACTCTATATTCTCTTATTTTCATTATCACCGTGTAGTAAGTACCCTAATTTATATTCTTGCCATAGACACAAACTGATGCTTCATGGTATTTATATAATTTACTTAAATATGAGTGGTATGAGCTTCTTTGCTTATGTTTACAGGTCACTTAAAATGTTTTTTCTGTTAACTGTATCTTCAAATTTTTTATTTTTCTATTTTCAATAAATATTTTATGCTGGGCTATATACAGCTTTTTGTTATGTTGACTAAAAGTTTCTTTTATTGTATAATTTGTCTTTGGTTCTACCTTGCTTTACACAAATTTGTATTATGTAATCAAATTGCTCATTATTTTTATTATGGCTTCTGGGTTTTGTGAGGCATCAAAATTGTCATATAAAATATTCTTATTTTTACAAATTCTCTGTAATTTCTGAAATTTTAATGGATTTCTATGGTATACATTAAAGTATTTCAAACTTTCATTTATTGATATTTATTCTTTTTTAAGAAATAAATTATAGATATACCTTATATTGTTTAGTTATTGTTACATGGAATGACAAGCAGTCCTAATTTTTCAAGATTCCATCCTTACTCTAATTCAAAATATTGCCTTTATCATACACTAGATTTTTCTATGTATTTAGGTGTATTTTTAGACCACTTATTCTTTCTCATTAATTTTGCTCTTTATTTATTTAACACAAATTTTCTAGTTATTTTTCTTTAGAATATTTTAAGATCTTATAATATTAGATACTTTGTACCCATTATTTTTCTTCAAAGTATCAGATATTATGCTTTCCTATTTTACCAAGTTTATGTTTTTATTATATTGGACTGTCCAAGGCAAAGTTAACTAATCATGAGAATGAGATAATATATCAATTAATATATTATTTTAAAGATTTTTGATGTTGTGGTTTTCATGGAAGAAAAATAGGTAAAGTAACAGGAACGGGTTGGAATTCCTGTTGCTCCATCTCTCATACATACGGCCTTGGATAAACTATTTAACTTTTCTGGTTTTTAGTTACTTCAGTGGGAACATGCAATTATAATATTTATTTTGTATAATCTTGGTGAGGAAAACTTAATATGAAAGCTTATAGGAAGTGCTCAATACAGATTTTCATGTTCTCAAAGCTGAAGCATATATGTTAAAATGATTAAATCATATTGTTAGAAATTAACATTACCTATCCAATGTGTTTAAATTTATATGGCAAATAGTTAAGCAGATTTTTGCAAGTGACTTATGCCTGATAATGAATTTTGTGATGATTTGTTTGAATGACCCTGTAGGTAGTCTTGTAACTCAGGAAGGAAACCCATCATGTTTTGATGCACTCGATATGCCTGTTTATAACTAGCTGAGTCAACAAGCTAAATTTTTCTTCATGGTGTTGGAATATTAAGGTCACGGTGTGCTGTCAAACAGAGATTTGGAAATCCCTTCTGTGAGTATTTGCTGCTAATTCTAGTATCTAAAGCCCTGTAAACTAATATCTTCTAAAATGCACTGCGTATTTGAAATTCTGCTTCCTACATTACTGAAAGGAAACAAAGCACTTTACTTAACTGGCTCAAGCTATACTTTAGATTCTGTTAAAATGTATTCATTCCCTCACAGGGAGAGATATGTTTCTTCAGTTTTATGGGTTCTCTACAAGCAGAACGTGATAGTCTAAATATCTTGTTTTCACTTGTAGCGTTTGTGTGCCTGTGTGAAATAAAGGTATCTTGTCTGTAAAGGAGGCTCTAACTTCACAGTTTGGTTTCTAACCCCGGTTAGGGAAGTGCACTTGTTATCTCCCAAGTGCAGACCTCAAGGGGCTGTACTTAATCTTATTCAGAAAGTTAGCACCTTTTATCTATTATTTTATTAGTAATATTTGCAGTATGTAATGGTAACATTCATTGTGGGGAACTGGTACATATACATCACATATCTTTAGTCTTTTTACATCCTCTTGGAAGCAATCTATTGATGACTAGTCATCATAAGAGCTAATATTTATTGAGTGCTTCCTGTGTTCTAGTACTGGGCAAAGTGATTTACATGATCATTTCATCTAATTCTCAAAGTAACCTTATGAGGTATACAACGCTGAACAATATGCCATAATTGCTAAGGTAATTAATAGCAGATTGCACCATGGAAAGTCTGATTATTTTTTGGGTTTAGGCTCAGATACAAACAGTTGAGGCAGTTATATTCCTTAGTCCTTTGCATTATTTTAAGATTATTTCATTATATCAACTACTTTTAATCCCTTTCCATCCTGTAAGGAATAAACTAGAATGTCTGACTTTTTTATGGTCAAAATGAGAATCTAGATAATAATAGATTGAGATCTTAATCACAAAAGAACGAAAAGTTGCATTAAAAATGTCTTTTTAAGATCTAAGGGCCAAGGATTCAGCACAGTGGTGCCACTGCCTGCCTCGCAAGTGCAAGGTTCAGAGTTCAATCCCTGGTACCAGATACCAAAAAAAAATCTCAAATTTTACACATTCTAAATTATATATTCCTTGAAGAACATAAGTTAAACATATTTGAATAACTTCTTATATGTTAATATTAATTCAATCATATATACAATATATAAAATAAGAAATAAATACAAATTACTTCATTTTAACTGTCCTTCAATTAAATAATATTTATTTTCTCAGAATACCACTGAATAAGCACGAAACAGTTTTGGAAAAATTTTATGCAGAGAAATATAAAAACATTGGGAATCCCCATTTAGATTTATAATATATCCAACTCAGGTTAACTCCCTGAAAGGGAAAACAAAAGCACATGTTGAGAAAGGGCATAGTTTTAGAAATTTAGAACTGTATTACTAATGTCTCTTATTTTTTATAGCAAAGTCTTGTTTACTATCTTGATTTTAAAGCCATTGACTCATTTTGTTGCAGAAATAATTTCAGGCAGTGCTCTCATCCAATCCTACTTCTTAGAAAAAACACTGCATTAGATTACTACCTCCTAGATTACTACCTCCTAGATCGCATTTCTCTAAATTTGTTTCTTTCATGTGTAAGTTAGCCTCTAGCTCTAGAATATCAGAATTTAGTCTGTTTCTTCCTATTCAAGTCCTTCCAGATTTTATGATCTGTAAATATCTTTTTCTAAGTTCATAACTTTTTAGATAGAAAAGTTCATTTTAAGAAGTATAAAAATTCCCCAATGTACTTTTGAAAGGATACAGAAAATAGAATATATAAAATATGTCAACCTTAAAATTAGGATTGATTAATTGACTGGAGTACTGAGATTGACCCAGGATGCTCTACTGCTTGGCACTACACCCCAGCCCTTAAACAAATCTTTGAGACAGGGTCTTGCTAAATTGTTCAGACTGACCTTCAACCTGTGACCCTCCTGCCTCCACTTCCCCACTGCTGAGGTTACCAACATGCCCAGTTTAAAATTAGGACTATTTAAATCTCTAAATTTTGAAACAAACAGTACTTTATAGCATCAAAAATATTACTTCTAAATGTATTAATATAAAATATGTTGAATCAGAATATTGATAACAGGGTCATCTGTTCACAAAATATGATATAAAACATATAACTTTATGTCACATTTTCCTCTTCACATCATTGCTGATTCTTAAAGCAATAATAATGTTTATTTTCTCATTGATAGAAAAATGAAGCTGGGATATGGTGAAGCACACCTCTGACTCCTTTATAAAATCAATTTTGGTAAGCACACATTTACTTGGATCTTCAATTAGCATTTTATGAAAACTTTTTTAATGTTTTGTAAGACTGTTACACTCTTATGGGAAACTAATGCTCAAAGTCAAGTGTGAATTTTCTCTTTTCATTCGAGACTAGGTCTTTCGGAAGATGTTAAACAAGTTCCTTACTTGGGTTAAATTACAAAGCTATGAAACCATTAGATCTACAGTTTCTTGCACCTGCATAAATGACCTTTGTTTGAACAAGCTGAAAACCACGTATATTAACGCTAATAAATATGAACAAAGTGAAAAAGATACAATGAAAATCACCACTAAGGAAATACAACATTATAATTTAATATGTAATAAAACATTAAAGAAATATAGAAAGGTAGAATGGTAGACACTTTAAAACACTTCATAGTTAAACCAGTAATAATAAATGCACATACATGGTTTTATGTTTGGAAAGCGGTTTTTTGTTCTATTCCAAGGGAGATCAGCATCCGTTGAAGAAAGATCCTGAAGGAATTTTGGTAATTCCTGTTAAATAAATTAATTGCAAAATTTACACTTAATCAAAGAGGCACAAAAAATTCCACTTAGTAAAAATTCCACAATTCTTTATTCAAACCTTTTTAACTTTCTAAATTAAAAACACCTAACATACCTACGGGAATAAGGTCCAATGAGCAGTAATGAATTTACCTAAACTTTCACCATTATTATCTGCATCATGTTTGTCAGTTGGGCTACTTCCTTCTCTCGAGATAATCTCTGTGCAGTCTGGGAAGCCCTGAGAGGAGCAATCATACTAGGGATCCTTTTGCATGTTAACTCGTGGTTTCATGAAGTAACACTATTATTTAATATTTTAATGTCTACTTAGTGGGAAGAAGGAAATGATTTACTTTTTGTTTTTTCTTCTTGGGCAGTGTGATTTCATGCCCATTAATTGGTACAACACTGGTTAGTTTAAGAAGATGCCAAAGGTCAATTCCTGTATGCTGTAGGTATTGTTAAATTGATAGTGGAATGCAGAGGTGCAACTAAGAATTAGCAGCCACAGACAAAGGGTCAAGACAGTCTATAGTTGACATTTGGGTGAAACATTATGATATTATCTGTGGACCTTTCTCTTTGTAATATAAATATCTTTGAGGAAGTTAATGCAAGAGATTATGTTCATTAATTTTGTTATGCTGATGATTTATCTGTATGAAATGTATAGTTTTCCATTTTAGAAGTCTCAACTTGTCAAAGTCCTTTAAAATTGTTAAAATGTGTGTTTTTGTAATTTTTTCAACATCATCATGTTATTTCTTTTAATTCAATAAATCTCCCATTTTGATTTTTACCCAAAACTAAATCTGGGGAGTTGTTGATCTGTGAGTATGTGTGAGAGGGCAAAAGTGTAAGCATCTGAATTCCAATGTCTTATCACCAAAAGCTCAGAAAAACACTTTTTATTAATCAAATGAGGAAACCTAGAAGAGCTTCCTTGTCAAGGCTGTGGGGATACATAAAGAGGGGGTAAGAAAGATGTGCAGAAAATTGATGGACAAGTAGAACCTCTATTTTGTAATTATTTCACATAGAAGTTTCTATTTATACATTTAAGGGACTGGGCTTAATAAGCAGTGCCCAATTACCAGGCTGATTGTTTGGACAGTAATGTTACACTAGGTGGCCTTATTCTTATTAAGGTACACATGGCCTTAATGATCTTCCCTAATGCTTTTTCTCCTATTGTTTGGTCTGTTTGCAATGGGATCCCAGATAAGTTAGACTATTCTGCCTCCTTTCCCTTTTGCATTTAGTCCCTCTGGAATTGAGTTTCTCCATTATCTTCTCACTGGATTTCTGCTTGTTCTAGTTTACTTCAAAGGTCAACTTTTTTCTTCTTCCCTTTTTTGATTATTATATGTTTGTGATACAAAATAAATACATTCATCATGGGGAATTGGTATATATACATATCACATCTTGATCCTTTTTACTTTCCCTTCTTCCCCCTTACCATCTTCTCTATCCCCAGATCACCTTCTGATACCCACAGTCAACATTTTAAAAATTAAATCTGTTCACAATTGACTCTTTCTTCTTTATGTATACTTCTATCATCATTTAGTGTATTTGTAATTTTAAAAATATATGTCTACAGTTCTTACCATAATATGAGCTTCTTTGTGATAGGAATTATCATCATATGAGTTTATCCTTGTGCCCAGCACTGTTCATATACAGCATATATTCAATAATTTTAGTATTCACAGTTCAGTGCAGCAGATATTATTTTGTTACAAATGAGGACATTGAGGCACAGAGAGTTTAAATAATTTCTCCAAGAATACTTAGCAGGTAAGTGCTGAATTGATATACATCTGTGTGCCAAATAAAATGCCTACCACATAGTAAGAGTTCAATATATCAAATACATGCATCCAACATATATTTGTTTATTGTAGCATAATAGTTTTGCCTTAATATACTTAATGAAGCATTAGGATACATTTTTGAAATGTCAAAAACATGAGCTCCAAAAAAGTTAAACTAGAAACTTTTTAATATGTGAAAATCTTATTGCTAATAAAACTTCTTGTCTACTGTAGTCATGCATAATGTAATTATATTCGCTTGTATTCTAGTGAAATTACACTTTTGCTCCTGAAAAATTGAGAGATCTCACAGTATAAATGCTAAGGAAAACTTTATGGTTCCATTGATTTTGTTAAGTCCAGACCAACATTGCTCAAGAAGCATAACCAAAAAGCTGCAGGAAATACCATTAATCTTCTCACATTTTTGTTATCATTCCCGGAGAGACTGAAATATTGTAATCCTGAATTATTTAAGCCAGTTGTTTGATTCATTGTTTTATAAGTTCACATATTAAGAAATGCTTAAAATCAAAAATAGTTTTTACTGACATATAGAAATCTACTTAATTTTTATAAAATAATCATCTAAGTTAGGAAAGATGCTACAAGTCTCAAAAGAGATTGCAGGTCTAATATCTCCATTATACTTTAAATAATTTCAATTTTACAGATATATAAAATATTACAACAGCCTTTAAATAATTTTATGTATTTCCATAATGTGACAGCATTTATTCTATAGTAATTAAAAAATATGCCTTGTAAAACAGGGACATTTTACTTATTTTTTTTCACTTTGGAATAGTTCTAGAAGTAATATTATTATAACTTCTGAAAATATCCAGTTCTGTTCTCATATTTTCCTGTGCCTTTAATGTAAACTAAGCAGTCAAATATAAAATGGAATTGTTTAGTCTAAATCTGAAGTAATTGTTTATATAGAAAGCAACAACCTAAAGCTTGTATACAAGCAAAAACTAATGAATACATCCCTTTAAATTCACATCTATATCTGGATGAAAGACCAGATAAGAAAGGAGGGGAGACAGTCATTGAGGAGGAAGTCTGAAGAAGAGCACCTTTTCCTGACACAGTAGGTGAATAATTCTGATCAGGTTGCAACAGGGGCTGCCCAGTGTAACATTACTATCCAAACAATCAACCTGGTAATTGGGTATTGATTATCAAGGCCAGAGTCCTTCATGGCCTTGCATGCTTAAAATGCACATGAAATGTGACACATGAAACGACTGGAGGTCTTGTAATGTTGTGACAACTGCTGGTAACATACCAAAAATTCTTCTTGAAACTTTAGGTTGTTGTTTGTGCAAAGTTCTTCAACATGTTGCAGGAAGGATTTCTTGCTTATTGGTCTCCAAGTAAAGAAAGGTATAAAATGAAGTCGTGTTAGATCATATTTTTCTTGCTTAAGCCTGGGCTCTGGCTGCATTGTTAACATTTAAAGAAGGAGGAACATTTCACAGACCACAAACAACATGGTTTTATAAAGTCACTCTGTCGTGTTTACAAAGACTTTACAAATAACTTTTTTCCTTTTTAAGTTCACTTTCTTTGTATTGATAGTACAAAGAATTCCTTCACCTTTTCAGTGACTTTAAATGAAGGATTTAACATTTTAATAAATAAAGTTTTTCAAGTAAACATAAGGGCATAAAGTTATCATTGAATCTTAGGGCACATAATACCTCTTTGTCATAAAGAAAACATTTTATACATTACAAGGTTATAGAAGATATAAAATATTGCAGTGACCTCATTCTCATAATGACATGGGTTTTAAACCCCAAGGAGTTTAAATATCCCCATATTACTTCCCAAGCTAAAATACAGACATGCAAGCTTCACCCTAGAGAGAGAGAAAGCATTTCTCCAGTTACCATGCAATTAGTCATGCTTTTATGATTTATATCCAGCTTAGAGGGCTTTCCAACAAACATACAAAAAGGGAACCACACAATAAGATTCATTGAGTCAGTGAATCTAAGGTCAATATTCAAAAAAGAAGAAAAAATGTTTCGCAGACTTACTTGATGGATTTTCTATAACTAAGTAACCTGCAACAGAGATTGTGTTAAATGCATTGTGAGTGGGAATAGACAGGTCATTCTGAAAGAGTTCTAGATTAAAATCAGAAAACTAATAAATCAGTAATGTATAATGAATTATGCCTTTAACATATAACCATTATTTTAAATTCTATTTCACTTTTTCTTAAGCTACTTTTACTTGGATTCAAACATGGCTAAATAACATTTTAGCTTCTTTTTCCAACTACAAAGTTATTATTATACTGTATTGTGAGACATTTTGGGACAGTGCTTGAAAAGCAGGCCAGATTTTAATACACTGCATATTAAAAGAAGTATGTGAATTTAAGAAAATATTCTCTTTATCTCTAAATAGTGCTGAACCTGAGAGAATGAATCTGTAAAAATTGTCATCATATTGCTCAAGCCTTGTTTTATGAATGAGTTTGGATGAATATACAGCCATAACAAATCTCAACAATTTGTTACTTTTTGTGACATGTCATTGACCAAGTTACTTATTACCTAAAAAACTGAAATACTTTAAACAGTTTAATAGATTATGCAACATACACAAACTTAAAGATGAG